CAGGGCAATGATTGGGATAGGGAGAACTCGTAAGCATGTACCAATACCATTATACCAGCAACGCCCTTTCAGCGCGCCACAATATCGTGAATGGAGCCCACAACAGGTGGGCCTGTGTGCTCTAAATGCCAGGGCCGATTTTTGGTCCCAGTCCGGCCCTGTTGATGCACGTAAGCTTTGATCCACTAGAAGAATTGTTGAGACCAAAAATGGGGCGGGGGGGGGAAGAAGGGGGAGAGAGAGGGAGAGAGAGAGAGAGACCGTTCCGCACTTCAGGTAGTTAATATATATTTGAAAGGGGAATTTTCCAAGTTCCTCTGGTATTATTTTGAAGAGCTACCAACAGGCATACTTGCATCTGCCTCCCACAACCACCTCCTGTGCCCACAGGCCTAAGTGAGTCCATACGACTGGGTCATCATGGCCTGGTAGTTAGCACACACAAGCTTCCCTATGACTATCATGGGAACACACCAATAATGGCTGGGATAATTAATTATAAAAGCCCATATTAAAAAATGTAAGAATTCAGGGGAGAAGACCAGTCATTATGCAAAGTTTAAGGTACAGTACTTCATATGCTACAAACCATAAGGAGAGATGTTTCTCAAAACTGCTGATGTTAACTCTTTTGGTGGCATTAAATACACATTCCCTCATACAGCAAAATTTCTAGATATTTGTTCAGTTAAATATCATCATACTTACCACATGCATTTGATCAAAGGAGCGAATAGAAGCCAATCTGTCTACAAATAAGAAAAACACACAAGCTTCATGCAAATATAAATCCCTGCATGCAACTGTCAGTACCATACAAAAAGAAGAAGTACCATACAAAAAGAAGAAAACATTAATCCTACCTGTTGGACTGCCACAAACATGTTCCATCTTTCCTTGTAGACGTCCAATTTGTCTTTCCAGCTGTTTGTTCAGTTCTATTTGGGTTTCATATCTGGTTTTCCATTCATTGTCTTAAAACAAAAATAAATCCGCTGTAGCTACTGTCCCTAGATTACATACCTATCTTAAAGCTTTTGAAGCAGGACTGAGGAATCTTTATTCCCTCCAGTTGTTTTGCACTACAGCTCCCATTATCCCTTCCCATTGGCTTAGTGTCAGCTCATGCAGCTGATCTCAGTTCTGCTGGCAGAACAGGATGTACCAGGACAACTGCTAAAATCGCAGAAGAGCAAAACATGAGGTAGAAAATGTGAGGACCTCGACAGCTGCTGAGGCATCCCACACCCAAACTCTTCTCAGCCCAGGTTCCCAGTCATTGGGCCAGCACAATGTTAGGCCAGAGTCAATGTAGCCCAGAATGACATCCAACATCCTTCACCTGGCTGAGGTTTGGATTCAGCCTCTGCTGGCTTAGTCTCAGCTTAGCCAGTCCTCAGCCATCTGGGTTGTTAAGATCATGCACCTAGTATCTTACCTTCGTTCCCAACACTGTCGAGCCTTTTTTCCAACTCTGCTACTACATTTTTCATTTCATATATTGAGAGTTCTAGCATTTCTCTACATCACAGAGAGAACAAGTAGTTACATAATTTTAACAGACAATAAAAATGTAACATTCAGAGAGATTAAAAAAATGTATTCATGTTTATAACACATCTCTTTTCATGATCCGCGAGGTTCTTTGAACAGATTTACAACTACAATCAGGCACTTCCCAAGCACTCCAGATTCATGGAGAATACCAAGCTATGGAACAGATGTCACCCCAAGCAACAAGATCCCTCCCTTGCCCAGAATTTTGCTGGGAATGGACTTTCACATGGCAGACAGATGGCAATTTGACTTCATGCTATTGAGCAAAATTGCATTAAGATTTTGCAAGTCCCAAGACAAATGGATTACTGAGCTCTTGCTCATACAGAGGCCATATGTATTTCCACCATAAAGGCATTTTAATTAGTTATTGCTTGTGTTTGATCGTTTTAATTTGTTATTACTCATGCTTTGGTTGCAAAAGAAGTAATTCCAATCTGAAACACTAGAATTAGCACACACTGGCTGAAATACTGTTGCTTTGAATAGTATGTCATAATTAAAGTAGTCCCACTGAATCAACGGAACTTACAAAGGAACTGACTCACCAAATCCCCACTGATTCAACGGACCTACTCTCGTTGCAATTTATTACACTAAGCAACAGGACTTCAGCCATTACAATACTGATCAGTATGAATAGTGAAATCTGAAGCTTTGTGAAAGCTTATCATAAGCTTCTGTTGGTATATTTCAATTGTATTTTTAGGTTGCTTTTAATTCTTTAATTGCAGTCATTGATTCAAAATTATTTCTTATATTTAAGGCTGCTTAGCAAAGATTGGGGTCTAGAAAGGCACCTCAGACACACACTAGACAGGTAAATTTAAAATCTTTATCCATGCTCAGGTCTATTTTTGCTACTAAGGGATACTTTTTTTCAATAATAAAATATATATTGGGCATATATGGCTTGCATCTCTCCATGTGCAATGTGAAGGTGGCATTAATTTCAACTCCCTCATATATTTCCTGCAAGCATAGAAGCTACACCACTTCTCTCTTGTCCTATGTCTCCTAAATTCAAAGTGCATCCATAGCCCAGCATGAATATAATTGTAAATTTGTAAAGATGCTTCAATGCCATTTAACCCCTCAGTTGCACCTAGATGTGGGTGAATAAGTTTGGATGAAAAGGAAAGGGTTGAAAGATATCTGCATCGTAATGCCTTTTTGCCTAATCTCTACAATAATTCATGCACTGGCCTCAGGTGCATGTTACAGGGAAATCAAGACCACCAACTCATAGAATTGCAGAGCTGCAGGAATGCTGAGCAGGGCCGTTAATGACAAGGCATTTTGGAGATAATTCTTCCACAGCTAAAAGTTGGGAGGCAACTTGATGGCTTCTTGTCCCAAACCCCACACCCCACTTGTGTTTTGGAATGAACAATCATGAAGGTGTTGAAAAGAGCAGTTGTGTCTGCCAGTTAGAACTGAAGCAAAACAACGGAGAGTCAGAGTGGATTGTTTTGTAGTTATGTGCCATCAATTCACTTCCAAATTATGGAGACCCTATGAATGAGAGATCTCCAAAAGATCCTGTCTTCGACAGCCTTGCTTAGCTCTTCTAGACTCAACCCTGTCTAGGGAGTCGGTCCGTCTCATATTTGGGCTTCCTCTTTTCCTGCTGCCTTCCACCTTTCCCAGCATCATCTTTTCCAGAGAATGGTGGGTCCAAAGTAGGTCAGCTTGGATGTCAACATTCAGAGTGGAATACAGATCTTCCTAAAAAAGGTAAGTATGTGTAACAGACAAAATGTCCACAAGTGTAACAAAAAGACAATACTGTACTAAAATGTTTTGTGGTTTCTTTAATACTGGCAAGATTTATTTCAGTGTGAGTTTTCTAGGATTCTGTTTCTTCACATAGATGGTGGAGTGAACCCTTAGAAGACATGAACAGCAAACCCTGAAAGCTTACAGTGAAACAAATCTGTTAGATTTAAAGTTTCCATCAGACTTTGTCTTGGGTACACATGTAGTACCCTAGTTAAGAGGGCCGGCCTGGGACTTGAGAGATCAGGATTCCAGGTCCCACTGAGTCAAGCAAGGTAGCGGGTGGCCTTTGCTCAGCCACTTTCTTTCAACCGGACCAACCTCGCAGGGTTGCTGAGAGAGGACGAGGTTGCAGAGGACGAGGACAGCCACGTCTTCCGCCCAGAGGTTGGCTAAGAAATAAATTTCAATCTGGTGACACCTTACGTGGGATTTTCGCAGCGCTCCTGGCAAAAGGGACTCACTTCATCTGCTTCTCCTGCTGCAGCTCCAGCGCGGCCCCCTCGAGGTGCGACAACTCGCCCGGGTTCCCTCCTTCGCCCATGCTCGCTTGCCTCCTCCTCCTCGGGGGCCGCCGCACACGCGGCGCGTCCTCATCGCCTTGGAGAGAGAAGCCGGCGGAAGACGCGGAGCTCGGGCGGGGGCAGAGCTTCGAAGGGTCACGTGGCATCGCCGCCGTCCCGCCCCCGCTTCACTGCATCCACCCGAGAGACCTCTCGGACGCTCTAGAGACGGCCTCCTGCCTGGAAAGTTTTTCCCCCATGGAGAAAGCCAGCCGCACCCTCCGTGTCGGGCTGTGAAAGAAGCTCGGGACAGACTTTGAGGCGATTATGGACTCCTCCACACAGGCTCTCCCTCCTGGTTTCTATTCGACCTTGAAGTGCAGCTGTGCGCGGGAGGGAAGGATGTGCTGGCTAGCGCTTAGACCTGCCTGAGGGGGGAAAAATCTGGAAGCACTACCTTCTCTTAGGTGTAACGAGCCATAGAGTAGGGTAGCCCAGAAAGAGAGCCCCGAACTCAGAAAAGTTGCATTCTTGGACTATACCTCCCAAAATCCCCAACCAGCAGGCTAGTCCTCTTTGGCCCTCCAAATGGTTGTACAGTGGGGCCTCGCTAGACAGTTACCCCACATGACAGTTTTTTCGCTAGACATTGACTTTTTGCGATCGCTATAGCGATTTGCAAAACTGATTCCTATGGGGGAATTTCGCTGGACAATGTTTGGTCCCTGCTTCACAAACCGATTTCCGCTAGACAACGATTTGCTTTTCGCTAGACAATGATTTTGCTAGACAGCGATTTCAGTGGAATGGATTATCATCGTCTAGCGAGCCACCACTGTACTACAACTCTCACAGTCCTTTACCAATGGCTGCCATTCTGTCTGGAGATGATGGAAGACTAGAAGTAGGCAGGGCATGATTGCCAAAGGAAGGATGCCAAAGTCACACCCCCGGACCCATCCCTTCCCTGCTTGCAGGGACAGTGTTGTACAAGACCTTTACATTTAAATCTAACAGTGGAAAAGTAGCCTGTTATTGCTGTGAGCTCAGTCGTTTGGGTGGCTTGGCAAGCTGCACTGTTAGGTCCACAATACCACCAGCAGGAATACACCTTGTAGTATTTTATACCTAGAAAAACCTAGGTTGCTGAAAAAGTCAGTCAACTTTATAGCATGGAATTGTTTAATCAGCCTTCGGGATGACTGAAGGGTTTTTAGTGCTCAGCACTGAGGGCTTGCCAAAACTAAACCTACCTTTTCTGTAATGCTGTTTAAGCTTCAAGGGACAATCCTAATCAAGAATGATGTGACCAAGGTTTAAACTAGGTGATTTTTGGTACAAATTATTGTGCAGTTCTTTGCTATGATGATAGACTTCAAAGATGAACAACTAAAATCCTCATATGAAATCTAGGTTTGCTCCCATTTAAACAGGTTCAAAATCTACAATATTTAAATGCCCGTTTGACCTGCAGAGAAATACAGGTTGTTTCTACAGCTCTGAATTTTTGGGCAAGGATTTCTGATGGGAGACATACTTCCTGTAGCAAACTGGTTTCCATTTGATCCTGTGAAGTGGGACAGGCTCCTTCAGGTAAGCCTCTTGCTATGACTACCATTTTTTTCCAATTACCTATTCTCCAGAGAGAAGCTTGGCATATACAGTACCAAGATCCAGGTCTATAGAGCCTGTATCCTGAGTACACTCCTGTACTGCAGTGAGTCCTGGACCCTCTGTGCATGGCAGGAGAGGAAGCTGAACATGTTTCATAGGCATTGTCTCTGACACATTTTTGGTATCACTTGGCAGGACAAAATTCCAAACAGAGTAGTCCTAGAAAAAGCTGGAATTTTTAGCATGTATACATTACTGAAACAGCAACGTCTAAGTTGGCTTGGGCATGTTGTGAGAATGGCTGATGGTCGGATTCCAAAATATCTCCTGTATGGAAAATTAGTGCAGGAAAAATCACCCCAGAGGGAGACCACAGCTGCGATACAAGGATATCTGCAAGCGGGATCTGAAGGCCTTAGGAATGGCCCTTAAGAGATGGGAAACTTTGACATCTGAGCGTTCAGCCTGGAGGCAGGCGGTGAATCACGACCTCTCCCAATTTGAAGAGACACTTGTCCAGCAGGCCCAGGCAGTCCCGAAACTGGCAAAATCAGGGAGCTGGACAGGGGGCAGATTGTATTTGTCTTCAGCGTGGAAGGGATGGTCACCCTCAAATTGGCCTTCTCAGCCAAACTAGACGCTGTTCCAAGACATCTATTCAGAGCACGTTGCCATAGTCTTTCAAGACTGAAGGATGCCTAATCTGATCAAAAAATCTAATCTAAATCTCCAGAAAAGGGTATATAGGATTTTATAAGCTTATGTAAGCTTTGCTGCCAGGGTGGCTAAAATGCAATGATTTTCTAAAATCAATTTTATTTAAATCTTCAAAAAATCTAATTTTTATCATTTAAAATACAATTTAGATCACAATTTAAATTAATTTGATTTAAATCCATCTTGTTTGCTGCTGGATGTCTAATGCAAAATTAGTAGTACGAGTTTTCTGAATGTGTTAAGAACATATTCATACTCTTTAATTTAATCTAGTATACATTACTGAATTAACGTGACTAAACTAAATTAACTTTGAGCAAGGTTTATTGGAAAGACACTGATGGTACAAAAAGTAGAAGGCAGTAAGAAGAGAAAGACTGAACATGGATTAACACAGGAATGTATGATCTTAAATTTGCAAGGCTTGAGCAGGGCTGGAGGTCATTAATTCATAGGATCACCATATGGTGGAAACAACTTAATGACACATATCTGCAAGTATTTAAGGCTGCTTTATGGAACGAATGGCAGAAGGCCTTGGTGGGGGGGGGGAGAGCTTGACTAAAGGAGGGAGAAATGGCAGTGGTTGCCAAATGGTGGGGATTTGAGATCCCTTAACCCAAACACACATGCACTTTAGAAAAACAGGCTAAGAAGCCCCACACCATGTTTTGCCACTCAATGCACCACAAGATATATACAAAGGGCCACATAAAGACAGAGAGGTGCCATTCATTCCCATCACACAGGCCCAGCCTGGAAACACACTTGAGTACCTAGAAAGGGACCTCCTGCCCAAACTGTCCTAGAAAGCCCTACTGCTATAAGCACACCCCTCTATATTCTCTTCTTTAGCTGCTGCTCTACCCCTATACATAAATACAGAGGATTAGTAACGAGCAATATAATCGGCAGATGTCATTCAAAACAATAGACTCCTCGTTTTTAAAAAAGCTACACTTTACTCAGATTTTCACCCTTAAACTAGCTTATATTGCTGGCAAGCAGATTCCATAACAGAATGATGCAAGTTGTCAAAAATACTGCTTATTGCTTTTTAAAAAGATAATGTACTTTAAAAGTGGTTCAGAGGCGCAAAGATTCCCGCCTAGCCATAGCTTCCATCAGGAAAAAGAAGAAGCAAAATTTATATAGGCAAGATGCAATTGTTCCTACTAAAGACATCACGTACCGAAAATGAAGGCACAGGATCCTTGACACCACCACTCCTCTAATTCTTTAGGAAATGCTTACCATTCAAATAAAAATACAAACAGGCAAACTATGCATCTTAAGTTTATTTATAGCTTTTAAATCTACAATACATTTCAAGTGGTTAGTTCATTTATTAGTGAGTGTGTTCCTATGTGCTACCATATTTCTGTGGAAGGCTGAATTAACACGATAGTTCTTAGCTTCTGTGAAACCTCACAATAATGTGAAAATCAAATTCTTAAGACATAGTAAGAGATGGTACATTTCCAGCAACTGAACTTTTTATATTAGATACTCAAGTGGAGCAAAGTTAAATACCCAGCATATTAAATGCACTGCAATCCATCACAAGGCAGCAAGAGTAACATTGGCTTTTAAATAAGGAGGACAATCCTGTAAGAGATACAGAGCACAATCCAAGATTTATACAGAGGCCAACCTTTCAATAAATACCAACCCTGGAGAAAAGGTATGTTCCCATGAACTGGCTGAACAACACCATGCGATTAAGTTTTACTGACCAAAGTAGGCCAGAATCCTACCCATTCCAGTAAAATCCAGGATTTCATAAAGTTTGTTTAAATATTCAATATTGTTTACTCAGGGAATAGTGCTATTTAGATCTTTGGCTTTTAATAGACTTTGCCTGAGGAACTATTTACTGGCTTATACAGACATTTACGTAAATGTATACACTTTACGTATACAGTTGGATCAGCCAGTTCAGTAACTGTTAGGTAATTTATCTTTTGTCTCTAAATTTTGTTACAAAAATATTCCCTCTATACCTGAAGCCAGATTCCAATTTTCCACTTAATTTGTAAAAATAAAAGCATCTCAGTCTCTATTGTGCAAGTTAATGCCACAACAAAATTTGCTATCAAAGTTTTACAGCGATACTGGAGTTATGGATACCTAAAACCATTCATTTTAGAAGAGGTTAGATTTCAAGTTTCATAACTTAAGTGCAGAAAATTTAAGGGGTTAGAAAAATACAACATCTCTTAATTGATAGCTGTTTTTAAATAAGTTACACCATACATTAAGGCTTTGGATAATTCATTTACACCACTGTCTTCAGTGTCCATCTTTTCTTTCTTTCTTTTCTATAGCTTTAGATTCATCTTTTCCTACAATTTTGTATTCATCCAAGACTGCATGGCCGGTTTCCTTTGCAGTTTTCTTCACTATCGCTTTGACTCCAATGTGGTCGATATTAAACGCTGTCACACCAACGTTGATGGCAGAACTCACTGCATTGTGTGTAGCATGGCCAGCGTCATCCCCATACCTTAATGTAAGTAAGACAGATATCAACTCGCACGTTCATGCTTGTGCACAGCTAAGGAAAAACATTATAGGTATGTTCCCATTCCCAAGCAGCTTATCAATATTTATCTGAGAAACCTGAAATCAAGAGGGGTATAGATTGGCACAAATTCATGTTAAAATGTTTTTAAAGCAGGAAAAGTACAGAAGAAGATAATTACAGTCTTAATTTTATAGGGCTGCTAATCAGTCGCAGACTTTCCTTTGCTCCCTTGCTTCAGAGAATCAAATTTTACTCACTCGTCATGTCTACAGCTCACAAAGGGGTGCTAGCACATGATAACAAAATCAAAAACCTCAATTCCTGCAGAATTATAAAGTTAACAAGAATATGGGATTTTGCTGAACCATGTTTTCAGCTGAGCCATGTCACATCAAATACTCTATGAGAAGATGAATTTAAAAGCTCTCGTGTCAATAACTTCTAAAGGATTAGAAGCTGTTTGTTTAAATACTACTGTGGAAATTGAGGTATCTTAAATTAGACAAGGGATGCCCAGTGTTGTGTAGTGGATAGTAATGGACTAGGACTCAGGGTTTGAATCCCCTCTCGGCTGTGGAACCTCATTAGGGCTGTGGAACTGATAAAACTGCTCCTTAAACATCTCACTGACCTCAAAAGCCCTACTAAGGTTGCTGTAAGTCAATTCTAACTGGATGGCATATAACAAATTAGACAAAACATCAGGAATATGGAAATCTACCTGCCCTGGACAGTAGAGGGAAATGGAATTAGACTATTTTATACATTGTACCAGGTGGTGTGTTTTCTTAAGTGTACAGTATGCACAAATGAAAACTAGAAAGGGCTACTTTTCACATTCAGTTGTTGATAATTCCTTGTTGTTTCATTTAACTGCTCCTACACTTCTTATGCAGAGGATAACATGGCTCAATTCTTTCCAATTCTGGAGGGCAAATATTACAACCCATACTGATATAACAGAAAAAACATTTTAGCTGCCAAGATTCATAATAAAAGATTACAATCTAGTCTACACTGCGTTTATACATATGCTGCTTTTAAAAAAATCAAGGTTTAAATATTTGTTTGGTACTAAGAATATTTACAGTTGTCAGAACAACCAGAAGTATCTCACTGTTCACCAAATTCAATGGGCTGGATCCAAAATAGACCCACTATTTTGTTACTATAAGTTACTATTACCTTAAATCATGCTTAAATGCATCTATTCTGAATAGGCATCTGACCACTGATGTAAGATCAATTTTCCCCCAAAATATCAGAAATAAATAAATAAAAACCCTAGGAAGTATGAGGATAGGTCCTGTATGCATTACTGATTTGTAAACTAGTAAAACAAAATAATATACCAAACCATTACCAAGTTAGGGATATGCACTGTAGTTGTCCAGGTCAAATCAAACCCAAATTAAAACTGTAATGTTTGTCTTATTGTTATTAACCATTTAGAGACAAGTCTAAACTTTTTGAGCTTAGGAAGTTCTCTTCATGAGTCAATGGCTTCCCAGTTAAGATTATGTGTGTCCTACTAGCATGTTTTAGATTTACAAGGAAAGCTGAATGCAGACAATCTAAATACCTCTATGAGAGTAAGAGTGACTTGCTGAGCAAGTCTCTGAACCTAGATGTTCCCAGCTCGCTCGCTCTCTTTACACTGTATCAGACATTTCAGTTCACATATTTGTGGACTGCTGGGACATTAACATAGGTCAGACGACTGTGTTAAATCACACAACAATTTGGGCACTGCATTCAAGATTTCCCAATTCATATTTTTCTGGAAAATCCACATCACAAGATCTGACTCAGTACTAAACACTGCATTTCAGAGCACATATTTAAAAGGGAATAGACGAAGTCAGGACCTAGTATTATATTCCTCAGAGTCTCTATCTGACAAGTCTCTATCTGACAAGGTAGCAGCCTTATAATTATTTTCCAAGGCACAGCAAATATGATCGATTTAATCATCACCATAATCAGCAGTAATCACCGGAATTAAAAAGGGAACAAAAATGATTCTATAGAGCCATCACTGAAGAGCATTCACACCATCTCCGAGCTGTATATATTTTGCTACAATCATTAGGGCAATCTGGGCACAGACACAAGAATTTTAATGTTTGACAGTAAAGGGCTCAAGAAACAACAGCATTAGCAGTTAGTTAAAATACTTCGCAGAAGGGTTAAAATCTTCCCTAACCAGGAAAGACAAGCTTGGGAGACTAGTTTTAACTGCAGGCTCTGTAGAAGGCCTCCTTTTGCAGAGCTCCAAACAATTCAGAAAGAGAAAGTCCTGGCCCCCTGGCAAGGGAAAGGGAGGAGAGGGAGCAGAAGGAAATACTGAAAAAGCACCTGAATCATGAGAAAGACTGGCAGGAAAGAAAAATGGGGATTGTAGGGAAAGAAAGTGTACTAGTGGTGCTGAAGAAAAATGATTACTAAGGGGTATCTAATCCTTGTGAAGCTAGTATTTTGACTAGTAAAAATAATGACTGTTAGTGATACAGTAAGAAATTAAGATTAAGAATGGGAAATCCCACCCACCACCGTCTAATGTGCAATATATCTTCTTCTACACTAATGAAAAATGTTATTCAACTGCTAAATTGGATGGAACTTATATGTCTTCTTGCCAACAGATTTTTGGTGCCATTCTCCACAATGTAGAAAAGGTGCGCTCACTTCATTCAAATATATATATGATTTTTAATCTTGCAGAGATAGTAGATGGTGTGGATACTTCAACTTATCAAAATAGAAGTTACTTATCGATAGCCACACGTTACTTATTGTTTTTCACTCTTAGTGCCCATTGAAGGCTCATCTCCATTTTTCTTATTTTTATATCTAAAACAAGAACAGAGATTAACATGCATTTTCTCACATGAACAGAACATATTCTCCAACCTTCCCTGCAGGAAAGCCCTTGGCGATGCAGCATTCTTTGATATAAGTGGACTTTAAAATGGAAGACTTATATAAGCAGCTGTAAATCATACCTCGATAAGAATACATTAGAATAAACCAGAAGTGTATATTAAAAGCTATCACATCAACATTGGTGACAGAACTCACTGCACTGTGTGTAGCATGGCCAGTAATTTTTCAAACTGGCACAGTAATATTTTTAAACTTACCCACGTTGACTAAAAGCATTGTATGTAACTATAAAGTCCTATCCTTTCTTTAATCACAAAAAGAAATATGAAAGTTGGAAAACATTCCAAAACTAGACTTCATTTTATTGTTCACTAAATACCAATTTTTCACTCTGTCTTATCCTACCGTTTTTGCGTATATAGTCTACATATCCTGTTATTTTCTGCAGTCTTATTGTTGTAAGCAATGAAAAACTTTAAAATCTGTGCTGCCTACAAGATCTCATTTTGTACTACGTTCATATCTTATCTTCATCCTACTGTCCATTCAGGATCTCTCGCTTTCCCTGTCACAAGTAATGAATAAACTACAGCACATTTCCCTTCTTTTATACTTCAGATATTAAAAGTTGCCAATAAATTCATATTGCCTACTATGCTTGGTTAGTCTAAAACAGTTTCTAGACAAGTATTTTTACTATGAAAGTGCAGATTTGTTTGTGTGTGTGCGCGCACGGGCATGTGAGTGAGATTACAGCTTCCAGAGTTCTCCAGATAGTTAAGGAGTTACATTCCAAAAATATACATTCTGCAGACCTGTAATTTTCATCAGCCTGTCTGCTCATGTATCTGGTACAAATCATGTGTAGTACAACATTGTGGATAATCAGTCCTCTGCTTCAGTTTAGATTGTGCTTTTGCTTTACCCCTGAAGACAATTCTTCCTAACCAGGCAGGTGACTCAGTGAGTGGCTTTTTGTGAGCCTGCCCTAAGACAGCCACTGTATCTTTTAATATATTATCCACACCACCACTGACATCTAAATCATCTGTCCCACTGAGAACTATTTGTAGGAAACTCCATGGAAATAATTAAAAACTATGAGTTATTGTTGCTACCTCTGCATTTCTTCAGAAGCATAAAGGATCCAAAACTCTGGCCACCAGGCACAGATAATCAATTTTCATAGCCATGAAATACAACCAGTTTCAACAACTGAGCTGAAGCAGGACAGCAACATTTCCCCGCTGAACTGAATTAAACTGAACATAAACTGGGAAACAAAGTATTTGTGGAAATGGATTTAGGTAAAGAATATGGAATGTGACTAAGAATGGCTTACTCTGTCTTACTTGCCCTTTACATGACAGGAGAATGTTTGTTAAGAAACAAATGCCCAGGCACACGGAGAGAAAAAGAAAAACTGGTTTTAGGAGGAAAGACACACAGACTGAATTCTCCCATTGCAAACTCAGCTGCCTCCCTGCAGTGTCTCTCTCCTAGTTTCTGCACAGCCTTGCAGGTCACCTGAAAAGAAATGTGCTTGGGGAGAAAAACTGCAGGAAAACAAAGCAAGAACAGAAGCTTCTTCATTCACACAACTCATCTAATGTGAAGACTGATCTGTCTTTCCTTTGCATGCAGTCAGGAAAGTTCAGAATTTAGATACATTTAGATATGCGGAATTATCATCATGACATCTAAATTTGACCCCAAGTGGACCAAAGCATTTTTATTGCTTAATATGTATTTCTTTTTCAGAACGTCCTGATGTTCATGCAGCATCACACCATGTTGCACAAATGAAGAAAAAGTTAACTCACTTGTGCTTGACAGTCTGAACCGTTTCTTTAGACACACTGTGAGCGATGCATTTTGCAGCACTTTCCAAACCAAGCCATATTGTTGAAAATCCTGCAAGAGTCAGCAGTTTGTTAGACCCAGAAAGTATGGGGGAAACAGTGTTGATGTAATACAGTTTATACTGCATCCTGAGGAAGGGGTATTCAGTATTACCTTGGACACCACTTGCTGCAACAACTAGAGCACCATCTAATGTAGATTTTCCATCCTTATCCTTCTTAAGAGATTCTGGAACCAGCTTGCTTCCGTGCTTCTTGACATGAGGGGCTAATTCCTTCCCAACACAGCTTGCTAAAGAACACACACCTTCAACTAAACAGGAAAGAATTAACTACATTTCAATTTTCTTGTTAGATATTTGAGCCATTTATTTATTTATTACATTTCTATCCCGCCCATCTGGTCGTTTCGACTACTCTGGGCAGCAATAAAGTACGGCGTTGTTCTGAGGATCATAAAATAAGTTTTAAGTTAAATAGTTCATTTTCCCTTAACAAGTTCACTCAGTGAAGGTGCAAATACAGTGGCATTTCAGAACTGTCTTCACTGGTACTTATATGCAGCCCAGATAATTTAGGCTACTAAGGCATGAAACCAGTTAATACGTGGCAACAGAGAAGATGCTGTTCAAGTCAAACAAGCAGTTTCAGATGCTCAAAAGCTTCCTCATCCAAAAATGTCCAGAGATTATTTTCATTTCCATCCATGTGTCAACAAGGCAAAGTAGCTTAGCTCAGTCATCCCCAGTTTAACAGCTCAGGTGCCTTCACCTGAGAGCCACAGGCAGGATGGACAGTCATTAACCCATTACTGCAGATATGAACCCCTACTGTAGACGTGCAATGGAGACTTTTCTGTGCTATGCATCTTTCTGGCATCTGTATGCAAAGACGAAAATGAGAGGAAGCCATATCAATTTTTCTAAAAATCCCAGGTAGCCCTAAAGCTCATTGAGTGGTCCTGTGTCAGTAATTAACTCTCAGCCTAACTTTTTACATGTGGCTGTTTGACCATGAAAGTGAGGTGATTTGTATATATGCCACCATGACCTCCTTGGGCGAAAGAAAGTATAAAAACTGACAGAAGGGGACTAGTATTATATAGGCCTAGGAGGAAGTGAACTTTTCTTCCAGAACTGTTTTGAAATGACTGGGATTTAAGGGGTTTTATTTCTCACTGGAAACTGCCACACAGTCCGCTTGGGGACCCCTCTTCCACAACGCCTTTGGCTGGTCTTTTAAAATCAACTTTTTAACAGACATGGAGTGAATGCAATACTGGAGAAACAAAACATATTAGGTTCTTACCTAAGAACTGGCTGACCTTTACAGCACCCCCTGTAGCCTGCTTTGCTATGTGCAGCCCCTTTGATACTGTTGGATTGACTTCTAGAGGTTTCTCTTCTGGCTGAATGTGTTCTCTTAGCTTTGAAGCTCCTTTGTGGATTGCTTTTCCAGTATACTCTGCCCCTTTGACCAGGCCCCAGCTCACCCAGGATGCGCCTTTAAAAAATAGCAAGCCAAACTGATGTGATTTGAAAGAGCAACGACAGCAGATTTTCTCTTCTATGTATGCAAGCCCTGTCTAGTTCACCAAAAATCAAACCGTGAAATTGTACACTTCAGCCGCTCCTGTATCATCTTAATTAAGAACAAATGCATCTTCTGCAGACTGGGCAACTGTGATGACTATCAGTCTCTGTCTGCCTCAGTCTCGTAGAAGCAGGTGAAAGAAAAGTCTGTCATACTAATGAAAACAAAACCTCTTCGGGAAAAATATCCACCCACTGGAATCTGGAGTCCTGCTCTTTAAACAAGGCAGCCTGGGAGATTCATATTCAAACAACCAAACAAAAAATGTTGATATATTTCAAAGTATCTAAAACTGGGTTCAAAGCAAAATAAACATAAAACGAACTGAATGGGTAACAGCTATAGAATACTGTGAAATAAGTTTCAACACTGTAGTCTTTACATACTGCAGGCTTGACAAAGACTAATGGATAAACAGATTTTTCTAGTTGTCACCATAAAAGAAAATATACCGCAACCATACATGTTACATAGAAATATATGTGTGCCTTTTTGAATATGCTTCTTGATACAGTATCAGGCAAAACTAAAATAAAAAATAGAGACAACAAAAATGTTGTGGCACCTTAAAGACTGACTGCTATATTTTAATGTGAGCGCTTGTGGGCAAGTCCACTTCTTCAGACTTGTCCACAAAGGCCCACATACTCTTTAAGTGCCACAATGTCATTGTGTTCTTCATTTATTCTTTTTCTTTTGGTTTTCCATGATATGCTAGCATAGACTAACACGGCTACCTCTTCTAAAACTTCTTAATGCAACACACTGAAAAGCATTCTGATATCTCCTTGTTCTGTTGCTTGGATTTCATAGGGGCCTTTCCATTGATCACTGTAGCTTTGGCATGTGCATAGCTATTTTTGTCTCTTGCGCAAAAGGACCATTTCACCAGAATGCACCTCTGTGGAACCAACACCAAATGTTGTCCTTCTTTCCTCCCTCTGAGTGCGCTTATATAGAAAAACAGCTGCATTATATCAAGTCAGACTACCATTCCAGTGCATTATTGTTTTTAAAGTGCTTCCATGCAAACTCCAAATAGTTTTATTGAAGAATTAGCTGGAATCCACAGTTTGTTCTCTATTATGTTTTTAGAAAGGGAAATAATTTTGTGTCACGGCCATAACAAAGACAGATTACAATGAGCAACAGTGTATTTACTAAGGTTACCTGATAAGATTCCATGGGCTACTTTCTCGCTCCAGACGGGTAATTCTCTTTCCCTCTCTTCAGACACTGGCTGAACAGGTACAGTGTGGCTCAGGTTGATCACATCCCCTGTAGCCTCTGCGGGCTGAAAGGATGAAAGATATCAGAGAAAGCAAGATAGCAAGATCAAAGACAAAGAAATTAAGTAGACAAATTTCCTGTAAAGAAATTTTCATTGTATGAAATGGGAAACAGAATGGTCAATATAGAAAAGCTATTATTTTTAGAAGGCCACTAAATTTTGCTTAAGTTAACACAGGCTACAGCTGACAGACTTACCGTATTTTTCCATGTATAAAACGACACTTTCCCCTAAAATAATTAGAGGAAAAGTTGAGGGTCGTTTTAAACACGGAAGGCAGCAGCAGGAGGCAGAGACTGAGGCAAAGAAGCAGCGGTGCTCGGTCACCTGTCGCAGCTGCCCATTTACTGCCGCCACCCAACCATCCCCTCCAGCGATCGTCTCCTTGCGATTGGGCAGTGATGGCGGCAGTCAATAGGCAGCAGTGAGAAGCGGCTAAGCACGTCTACTCCTTTGCCTCAGTCTCCACCTCCTGCTGGACAGTGGTAGTCAATGAGCAGCAGCGAGAGGCGGCTAAGCACGTCTGCTCCTTTGCCTCAGTCTCCACCTCCTGCTGCTGCTGCTGCCTCCGCCGCTGGTTGCAGGCTGTGATCATGCAGTCCTTTGATACCTGCTGTTCCCTTCCTTTTGCTAAGCCTCGGGTTTAGGAAATGGCGGGGAAATCAGCGATCAAATTTTCTAATTGGGCTGTGATCATCCAGTCCTTTGATACCTGCTTTTCACTTTTGGTAAGCCTCGGGTTTAGGAAGCAGCGGGGAAATCAGCGATCAAATTTTCTAATTTGGTCGTTTTATAAACGGAAAAATACAGTAACTGAGCATCCCCATATTAAGCTGTCCTCTAATTTGACTACTTCGTTATAGGGATTTACTGACCTCTCATATAGTCTGTTTATATTATAGTTACTGTTATGTGCCATCAGAACTGACTTGTAGCAACCCTAATAGGGCTTTCAAGTTAATTAAGGTATTTAAGAGGTGGTTTTACCTGTTCTACATCCTAATGAGCTTTCATGGCTGAGTGGGGATTTGAACCAAGACCTTCTGAATCCCAGCCCGTCACTCTATACGCTACACTACACTGGGTATCCTCTTATATTATATGTACAGTCAACTCTCAACTTATGAACACCCCTACATGCGAACTTTTCAATTTATGAACAGCTTCGTTGGCAAAAATTGGCATCTACTTACCAACTGAGGCTCGACCTACAAACGAGTTTGCAAGTCAATGCCATTTTTTTGCCAACGGAGCCATTCGTAAATGGCTCCCTGAAAAAAGGCAGGGAGAAAGGGCTGGAAAATTGTATTTCCCACCCTTTCTCCCTGCCTTTTTGGCTTCAGAAGATTCAAATGGCTTCCTCCGAAGTCAGGGGGGGGGGAGCCATTTGAGACTTCCGAAGGCGCCGATGGGGACCCCTAGTGAGGTCTCCCAGGGCTTGCCCGCCACCATGGGAGATCTCCCTGGGTGTCCTTGCCGCCACGATCGGCACCTTCAGAAGTCTCAAAAGGCTTCCCCCCCACACATTGGAAGAAGCCGTTTGAGACCTCCGAAGCCAAAAAGGCAGGGAGGGCTCCCCCCCACAAAGGCCTTTTTGCCTTTTGAAATGCTGGAACAGATTAATTCTGTTCCCATGCATTTCAATGGGAAATGGTACGAAGTTTTTGACGTACGAACGTCGTTCCAAAATGGATTAAGTTCGTAAGTCGAGGTACCACTGTACAACCAAAATTACAAACAATTTTTAAAAACTGAATTGCAGAAAAACTAAATGGTGTGCTTGGCCTCCTAATTCCAGGCTATTTCACATAAACAAATATGTTTGCCTTTTCCTGACCCGCTGGCTTTTAAATGTCAAACACAAGAGTTCAAAAGGACTGCTTTTTTAAAAATAACAATCTCCCCAGCAACGCAGCTTTTAAATTTTCCTTTAAATGTATTGATAATATTGGAAAAAAGCAAACAGAAAAGAACAAAACTGAGAAGGCAACACAACAAAACTAGACACATAATGATATCACTAGATAGAAGATAAAAAGAAAGATGAGGGGGAAAAGGAAAATACTAATAAACTTCTATAAAAGGCGTTCAATTATCTAAAAAAAGTCTTATGTCATTGTTGACTATAAGCCATATGCTCATATGTCACTGGGGTTGAAATGTTATCTATCCACTGAGTTACTGCGGGTAGATCCTGTATTGGAATATAAGTCTCTTAACAACAGGAAGGACATGAAGAATCCATTTATGCTCTCCAGCAGCACAACCTGCAAACATTATTTTTTGGACTGAAACTCCCCTCACCATGAGCAGACTGCAACTTTAGTCCCCCCTCCCAAACCCAACACTCCCATACTCTGGGGTGCGTCTATTCTGGAGGGGTCACCTGGGTGACCAATACATCATTCCTCACCCATTTGTAGGGATGGGGACTCAAGTTGTGAGACTCGCTGTCAAGTCAGACTTAAGTCTCACTGGTGACTCGAATCGGACTCAACCTGAGCTCTCCCCACCCCACCCCACCCCACCTAGTAACTCTGACTTGTGACTTAGAACCCACCCATTCCCCCTTTTCTTCTGGGGGGAAAAGCTTTTTTAATAAGGACTCAGACTTGGACCCAAAGATTTGTCAACATCCCCACCCATTTGTGTGTGTTTTTTCTTGATTTGATTACTTTCCTCATACTGTGAGTTTTAAAAAAATTATTATGGTTCTCTATACAGTATATGTAATATTCTATTAGCCACACTGGTGCTTTTTCAAAACACAATATAAATTTTACATAATTATGTCTTGTTAGCATGGCACTCATGTCTACCTCGTGGTCTCTCACACTTCAGGAGAAAGTCCTCCCCTCCCCCTTTGTTCACTATTGTTAATTGCCTCCATACAGCATCTTTGTTCAGTGATTTAGGATTTAAAAGATGAAGCTTTTCAGAGGGTGCGGTGGGACAGATTTACTCCTACTGTGCTTTCCATTTCTAAATTTACAAACAATAGAACTGCATTCATAGCATTTGTTTCCATGGGCTTACGCGCTGGCACAACCAGGAACAGGGCAAAGCGGAGCATGTGATGTGGTCTTTTGTTGTAAAGAAGGCTGACTGATCATCAGCCAGATATTTTGTATTAGGAAACAGACATCAATCCACATTTCAAGAGAATATAATAAGCGAAGAGTAGCAAGCTAGTACATTGTTTAATTTAAAATATTTTTATCTCGCCTTTCTCTTTAAAAAGGATCCAAAGTGGCTTACATCATAAAAAATATATTTAAAACCCAAAACAGTAAGGACAATAATATTTTAAAAAGAATTAAACAAGTATATAAAAAGTGGTAAATAGAATCAATACTAAAATACATTTGAAACAACAGAGCACAACAGTCTATTTTAAAAACCCTCTCAAACCACCAGTCATTAAGGAAAAGCCTGCCTGAAGAGAATGGGCTATAAAAATAACTTATTTTGATGCTACACTATATTATTGTGAACTAGGTGTGTATGTATATGCTTCTTATCATAGGTATGTACTGTTATAGTTCCTGACTTAAGGTTTATCCATAAGGTTCAATTCTGATCTTTCTGTCAAATAAAAACTTCACTTGAGCAGGTGCACAACTGACTTACATCAGAATACCAGGTCTACAATTTTGCATTGCATCATAACATCCTCAACATGTTAATGGGACAAACATATTGGCTGAAATCTTGTTGCTGAAATCTTGTAAATGGGGAGTCCAGTCCTCCATAAGTTCCACTGATTCAATAGGCCTACTCTAGTTGTGACTTACTACTCTAAGCAACAAGATTTTAGCCACTACATTGTAAATCAGTGTCTTGGTGTAATGCAGTGATCACTAAGTGCATAGAGCAAACAGCATGGAACATGACTTGTTTCATTAAAATGTTGGATTGATATTTTGTTCTTGATTGCTGCCTAATATACATGCTTATCAGCCAAAAATAGCCTATGCTCATGTGAAAAGCAGGAGCCAAATTAAGTAACTGGCACATATTTCTGTTTAATCGCTCTTTAAGCTCCTTAAGTGAGCTACTGTGAACAGTAATAGGTATTTGGTAACTCAGACCAAAGCACAATCAATTTTTTGTTAAGTCATGCCTTTAATGTTCAGCAGCTAGGTATAACTTCTAAAGCTTTTTTTAAAACAAACAAACAAAAAACTATATTAGACTATCATCAAGAGTTCACCAGGCCTATAACAATATCGATGAGTGCTTAACACTATTTTTTAAACATTAGCTAATTTTTATTACATTGAACTATATTGGCTGTATGAAAATATACTTTAAATTCCAGCCATCTGATCAAAATATTTGACAATTTCAACCTACAAAAGGCCTAAACAGCCTGGGACCAAGCTATCTAAAAGACCACATCACCCTTTACGAGCCTGCACAGCAATTAATATCATCAGGTGTGGCCTTTCTCTCTATCTCACCACCCTCACAAGTGCCCTTGGTGGGGACACAGGACAGGGCCTTCTCTGTGGATGCTCCCAGGCTCTGGAACTCCTTGCCACAGGACACTAGGCTGGCCCGATGTTTCCTGTCCTTCTGCAAGCAGGAAAAGACCTTTCTCTTCAGGCAGGCTTTTCCTTAAAGACTTGCAGCCTGAGAGAGGTTTTTTAAAAATATATTGTTGTGTTCTGTGGTTTTAAATGTGTTTTAGTATGGATTTTCTTGACCATTTTTATACACTTACTTTTAAAAAATATTTGTATACTTATGGTTTTTAGCTTTTAAATATTGTCATTTAATTGTGGTAAGCCACCCTGGGTCTTTTGAAGGAGAAAGGCGAAGTAAAAATATTTTAAATAAATACATTTTGCAATGTGACAACCAAAACGGCAAATAACCAAAAATTATTTGATTTTCAAGAATCTCCTCACGATTCCTGCTAAGACATAATTTGTCAACAGTTTATACCTCTGAAAATGCACCTCCTGGTCTGTAAGCAGGATTGAAACCCACAACCTCCCGTAGTTTGCATGATCATGATAACCAATGATTTGACAAACCACTATTGCTTAACAAGCCGCAGAGAAGCTGTGAGACAGGAGCGAAGGGGAAGGCGCAAGACTTTGTATTCAGGCTGAAAAACAGGTTCTAAGAGGAAGGGGCGCATCTGCATGAACAGAGACGATCTTCTGTCATATCAGTATTAATAGTGCAATTGCACAACAAAATAAAATTTAGCCATGAAATCAATAACTATGAGGGCGAGGGTACCCTAAAGGACATTCCTCAGAGTGTACCATCCGCTTCCTCAGCTGAAGCCATTGAGAGACAGATGCCCACCTTAAAAACTGTGTTTAGAAGAGCAGGACAAGAAAGGACAAGAAAAGGATGAACCATCAGAGGGCATCATTTTGGCAGGAAAGGAGTGTACCATCCGCTTCTTCAGCTGAAGCCATTGAGAGACAGATGCCCACCTTAAAAACTGTGTTTAGAAGAGCAGGCCAAGAAAAGGACGAACCATCAGAGGGCGCCATTTTGGCAGGAAAGGGAGAGTGGGTAAAAGGAAAGGAGAAAGGGGTAAGGGGACAGTTAGAAACTGAGGAGGGAGAAGTGTGTTGGGTGAAGGAGTGGATGAGAAAGATCTACAGAAAGCCACCTGACTGGGGTGAGATGGAAGAAAGAGAACAAAGGAGAAAGCTGAGAGAGTGGCAGCAACGTGAGGCACAAAAAAGGGAGAATAAAGCATGGTCAGATCGTCCTGGGAAATCCCATGCGTTGAGCTTGTTGAAACCAAGGATGAGGCAAAACCAGGCAAGAAAGTATGGGAGCCACAGGTGGGCTGGGTTTTCCACCCTCCCCAATAAGGTCAGCTGCAAGTATGCCTGATGGTTTGGGTGTTCCCCTGAGATGGGGTTACAGAGACTTCAGTTCTATTCCTATGGAGATAGAAGGGGATCTATTATGGTTCAATGAGAATGAAAGAGGTGCAACGTCCCTGAAGCAAGAGGACGGAGTCTGTTGTTACTGCTGAAGTGAACAAACTGTCAAAGAATAAAGGCTTTAAGTTAAAAAATGCAGACGTCCCTGAGTCACCTCTCCAGCCAGATCCAAATAAGAGAGAAGAGGGAACTACACAAGATCACAGTAACAGAACTAGATTAAAGGACTTTCTTTATGGAGCTTTATCTATGTATTAGGCTCTCATAAGTTCAGTCCTTCAGCAAATATGTTCTAGCCCCAATCTGTTCTGATGCCTCAACTGGCTCCCTCATATGTAGCATCACATGCATGTACTAATACAGATTGCCAATTCTCTGGTCTTCCAGTTAAAAAAATAAATGTACCCAGTACTTTGAAGGTTTGAATGCTGCTTGTTGTACAAAAGTCATTGTTGGTGGCATATAAATTTTAAAACAAGTAAATTTTTCATATCATAAAGCAAACTCAATTTTCCATTAAATTTAACACATTAACTTAATGAGAGCCACCATTTTCAAGTCATAGCCCTAAAATTTACCTTGGCTATGAGATCAGGTTTCAGTTTTAACCGATCCTCAAAAAGCTCTTTATAAGATCTTGAGCGTTCTCCCTCATGGGATCCTGGAACCTGTGGTACCACATGAAGGACATGAACAGATTCACAAGTGTGAAAATTCAACAAAGGATCTGTTCTGCACTGATGCACAGGAACAATACCACAAAGTGCACAAAATTGTCCTTCTTATAAACTGCAAATTTCTCCATGTGTCTGTTGAACATGCAGATAAATAATTGCAAGACTAGGTTGTTCAGCGTAAGCAACTGAAACCAATCTTAAGAAGGAACAGGTTGTTCTGCGTAATATAGCGAACTCTCACTAAGCAACTGAAACCAATCTTAAGAAGGAATAGAATGACTTGAGCACATTAAGGCCACAAACAGTAAGTCTTCACATCACATTTAAATTTCATTGCTTAAACTTTCCTTTCATGACTGGAGATCTGCCTCCTCCTACTTTTGCAAGGTACATGCCCACCTCCTTAAGGGTGACTTTGTTTACTAGACTAACGAACCTTCAGACTTCTTTTCCCTAGACTTCATGAACAGACTGTGACCAAGCTGACTCTTTCAGCTCTTCTAAAGCAGTGTCTCCCAATCTCTGGAAAGATGGTTTGGACTTCAGCCTCCAGGACTCCTAATTATGTTGGCTGAATGTTCTGGGAGCTGGAAGTCATAACACTGAAGAAACAAAGGTTGGGAACCACTGATGTAGAGTTTTAACTACACCTAGTTTAAAAGCGATTATGCTTTAAATATCTGTAATACTCACATTTCACTTAATTATTGTACCCCCACAAGCAACTGCACTGGATAAAGCATTCCTGCCACACTGCATATTCACACCTAATATTCTTCTACAACAATTCAATTGCTTGGGCTGGGGGGGTGTTATATAAACCTCACCTGCCATTCACAGCACCATACTGGAAATGTGTTTTCAGTCAAATTCTTTGAGAGTTTTCCAGAGGCAATATGAACCATGTTCTGCATTCTCAAAAAACATCATTTTACTGGCAAATTCTAAATTATTATGATGCTCTCCAGCCTCACCCCATTGTTTTGTTTTAAGTCACCTAGCAAGACGATGGCATAATGCTGGTGTTTACCTGCACTCTAAGGTCAGACATTTGCTTTAACAGATCCTCAAACAATTCTCTGTCAGCTGCTGGAAGTTCTGAAGATAAGACGACTCCCACGTATGATCCCGACACCTGAGACATCATGTCAGGGAACATGTAGACTCCACTGTTACAAGAGAGGACGGGTGACTGGTTGCACATAAGTGGATATACCCAATCGCAAACCTGGAATAGAGAAGATGAAAAGGGAATCCTGTTAATGAACGCCATCACTGTAAATGAATACATCAGCATGGAGAGGGCATTTCATGTTTTACAGTCAGCTTCAATGAATGAGTGCCGGTAGTTATGAATAAGGAAGCCCAGTAGTTGAAAATTCTACTATTCCTCTATAGTGTTGGACATATTGGTGCTAAAGCACAAAAGTAATCACATTTGTGAAGATATTTTTAGATCTATGCAATGTGCAGTTTTCAGTGCAGAAGATGTTTTTTCAAAAGCACTTAGCACCATTCTGCACTTAAAAACCCTTACAGCCCAAATATCAGTCATGAATACGATCGTTCCATTCTTACATTATCCAATTAAAACTGCCCACTGTTACATCTGATCACCTTCAAACTGAATGCGAGACTATTCTAAAGATTTCATTAGTCTTTCTGAGGAACTTCCAGTAAACATTCCTAGAACACAGGTCAGAAATCTCCATTCCAAGATAGTGCAAGCAGATAACAAAAAGCCCATTAAGTTTTAGCATCTGAAAGCCCATCGTCTCTGATATGACCAAGCCGAGATCCCCTTCTCTTGATTCTGCCACCCTTCAAAACACATCTGATAAACACAAAAGAAAGGGCATTCTGCTTCCAAGGTTGTCTTTCTGCTAGTAGATAAAGACTCACTTTACAGATATTACTAAATAAAGGGCAAGGTATAGATCCAAATACATTAAAAATACATTAAAATGTGGAGACTTCCTTAGAATCCCCAACTTTCCTTTAGAAACCCTGGCTAATAGCTTAAGAACATAGTGAATGTAGCACAGTCAAAATTCTGGTCATTACCTGAAGGAAAGCAGGCGGACGATTCTGAGCTGCTGATGATTCTGTGTCCAAAAACTTCACAATGCGAAGGTACCCGGGATAGGAGGGAGCACTGACCTGTCCATCAGGGGTGACATAGAATATCTGCACACCATGGGGAATGAGGATCAATTCATCAGCATCAACCCCAAAACTCTGAACAGGAGGTGGCTGTTTGCATTTTGTATAGTAGTCTTCTCCAACGGTTGAAAACTCCCCAGAGTCCGTCCCATATGACACAGTATAGTGCCCATCAGTGGCCTCAGGAGTATAAACAGGTGGTGCTTCATTAGGCACTGAAGAAGAAGTCATCACAGGTAAATGCTCTTGACTTGGAGATCTAGCACATCCACTTACCCCAAGAGGCTGAGATGGTGATATCAGAGAATTTGGTACAGGAGGCCTCTCAGGCTTTTCTTTGGAAGGAATTGCTGGGTATAATCTGGATGCCTGTGGGCTGGGATTCATTGCAGTGGTATTAGGCTGTGCATTTGCATCTAGAATGCTCAGGCGAGCTTTGACATTTTCTATCGTCTCTCTCATTTTCTGCTGCATTTGCCTGGCAGACTCCCATCGGGCACCGGTGCATTCTGGACCTTGGGATGAGATACTAACTCCCTTGATCAAGTGGTTAAGACCTTGCATATAATAATCCTTTGTTTTTTCCTTCTGTCCCTTTTCATCCAAATTCAGAGCCTTATTAATATACACGAAAGCTTTACTGTATTCTTCTTCAATCTCCTTCAAATTCGTATCATCTTGAGTAGCTGATTCCTGTTGCTGATCCATTATCTGCAAAATAAAATACAATATGAGTTACCAGAGGCATAAAGAGACAGGAAGCACACCAGCCACAACAAACTTTCTCCAGTTGATGCCCTCCAGGGCATTATAGTCCAACACACTCAGAGGGCACCAAGCTACAGAAAGATGTTAGAGAATACTTGTGCACTTCTAGCTAATATTTAAATCTGCAAAATACCTACCCTTATGAGGATTTTAGACAAATACAAGAAAGAAGCACTTTGTCAAAAACAAGTTATGAATGTTAATCTGAGCCAGTAATAATGGAAAAGTCTCTGAAAACTTTTTTCTGTTTCAGCATATTTCAGTATTGTTTGGAAAGTTGGTCTCCTGCTGATATAAAACTCAAACTTCCCATCACCTGCAGACTCATACCCCGTTTTTATAATCAGAAGAACAATTTCCCCACAAATGGGGCTTACTGTCAGACTTTTTCCAACACACCACTACTTTCCTACATCCAAAGATTGTGTAAGGGCTTCAGATCTATCCCAAGACTTAAGTTTTATTTTGGAAAGTTGCCAATTTGTTAACTGGTCCCTACTGTGAGGCTGAGAAAAATAACACAGCCTTAAGTATTTTTTGTTGTTGTTATGTGCTGATTTATAGCAATCCTGATAGGGTTTTCAAGATAAGTTTAAGGACTTATTTTACCAGTTCCACCCACCCATTGAGTTTCCATGGCAGAGCCAGAGAACCAAACCCAGGTTTCCTGAGTCCTAATCTATTACTCTGTCCATGGGAGTTGAAGTCCAAGAACATCTGGAGGCCCAAGGTTGGGGACCACTGCACTACACCATTCTACTAAGTTCTTTTACTTTAATTAAAAAGGAGTAAAAAGTAGACATGTTTGAGCACCAGGTTCAGTATTAGACATATTTAGCTGTGCAGCAAGACTCTAAACATGTTTCCTCAGAACTAAATCCCATAAAGTTCAACAGGACTTTCTTCCTGCCATGCTTTGGCTACTGCCTTATTTCTTTTACAGCAGATAAATCCCATGCCAAAGTCCTTCTGGAACCAACCACTGGTATCTCTATAAAGCTCAGGAAATCTCTATTAGGAGAGACTGACCATTAATTAGTGCCTGTGCAGACCAGCCATTTTGGTGTAGGCTGGCTTAGACTACAAAAGGTTGTGGGGAGGAGCAATGTGATATTTGGCATGCTCCTCCCATCCAAACATCAAGCAACCGTTTGCAACTGCTTTAATCAGCAAATTTTAGATATCATGAAAGATCTATTTATTTTCTTACAGGTTTAAATTTTTGCCAGAAATGTGAAGAGGTCCGTAGAGAGCTTTCTGCCTCATGTGCCAAAATAACTTCACTAACTATGACTGCTAGGCACCCGCAAAAAGGTGATGGGTGGGGTGCTATTTGCTGTTCTACCTCAGGCATCAAGATGTCTTGGGTCAGCCATATCAGGAAGAATTAAGTCATAGTTCAAAATCTCTGCAAATACAGAAAGTGGCAAGTTTTCAGAAACAGCCATCAGTATTGCTTGGGGGCAGGACTGGTCCGGAATACAAAAGTTCTGCTATAAATACAATTGAGAACTCATGATATTTCAGGTCAAAGTTCTCTTTGAGTATGCAATAAACAATAATCAACACATCTGACTACTAAATAGCAAAGATCAGCAGAGCATGTGAGAGGAAGTAATGCACTGGGATTACAGCCAGCCAGCTTTTGCTTGCACAGCTTCAAGCCACCCAGGCAGATTCACACAGATCTTTAGCAATCTCTCCAAAGGCATGGTCCGAGAGATCACACAGCAACCTAGCTTGATGTTAGGCGGATTGCTGGCTGGCTGGCACCTGAGCAACAGATCCTCTTAGAACTCTATACAGTATATGCCGTCTTGAGCTCTGTAATGGAGAAGGGCGAGATATAAATCTACTAAATAAACAAACCCTGAATTTATCTGCTCTTCTTCCTAATCCAGTTCTTACAAAGCCAGGATGAGATATATGTCAGGACAAGGCAAATAAAGATCTGTTTGGAAGATGGCAGTTCCAAGACACTACTATAGGGTAGGCGCAGCAAATTTTTGGCACTCCCAATTTTTGAACTACGACTTCCACATTCCTTTATCATTGCCAATACTCTGGGAGTCATAGTTCAAAACATCTGGAGTACCAAAGGTTGCCTACCCTTGCTATAGAAGTTTTTACAGGGGAGGCAGACATTGTGGTATGCAACTAATTCATCAGGGTAAAGAAAGTACTGCCCTCCCTCCAGCTGCATCCAAACCACCCCAGTGCAGTTTGCCTCCTTACTGGAAGGAAAACAAATTAAGAAACAGCTGCATTCCCCTTCCCTCTATGTATGTGTGGGGGGAGCATTCCCCCCTCAAGTTTTGTGAGTTTTAATCTGATATCTGTTGCATGCTTTTAACATACAACATGCTATTGTAACAATTTGTTATTTACCTTTTAACCTTGTTTCTTTTAATATTGTAGGCCACCTGGGATCCTTTAGTGAAAAGGCAGCATGTAACTATTTTAAAATGAACAAATAAATAAATTCCTAGCTCTGCCCATCATTGTCTGCTGAACCTTCATGGCCAGCCAACCACCAGCCGCCTAGAATGGTTTTATTGACCAGATAGGCGGAGTACAAATAGAATAAATAAAAATAAATAAACCACAACTTGTTGCACCCTTCTCAGAAGCAAGTCTTCTCAAAGGCACTGGCACTTACTCTAAAGCCACGTGTTGTTCATTAACTCTAAAATATTATCGAAGAAAAAGGGCTGAGGTCGGACTAAACACCTACAGAACAAGGGAGCAAGATAACTACTATACGGACCCAACAAGGTACATCGAAGCCTTAACATTTGGAAGTAATAGGGAACTCTTTACTATCAGAACTACTGCTAGCCGGGACACGACGTTTGAAATATTCACTTCCCTTTCACAAACACACTCCCGACAAACCGCTCTAGATCCGCACCTGGTCTTTACACCTGTTTCCCAACACCAGGGCTCCTCCTTTAAACGGGGACGGCCCCTTGAGCGCATACAGGTTGCCTTTTTCGGCCACCTGTTCCCACGTACTGTACACGCAACCGCCTCTTCCCAAGTGCACGCAAATCAACAGGCGAGAACAGGCAGGAAAGGGGCTTTGCCCACAACTCTTTAAAACCCGACACTTGTCTCTGCGTAGAAGAGGGAGGGAGCCGTGCCGTGCCACCCCCTCCCCTTCCCTTCCCATCGCTCCCTCCCAACACGCGTGTTCCGCGTCACTTACGGACACCGTGAAGCGCCGACCTCTTCGGGGCGCTGCGAGAAACAGGCGCTCGCGGGGAGACCCTCCTCTTTCTGCGGCTCTTTCAGCCGGTGGGGCGCCCGGTCACGCCGCGGGCGTCACGTGACCGGCTGCGTCAGAGGCTTGCTGGGACACGGAGTTCTTCCAGCACCACCACCACGAAGGGGAAGCGAGGGGGGGGGCCGCTTCGCGAGGAAACACTTCTGTTTGTAGCTCCCCGAATAATACTAAATACACCTTACTACGCTGCGGGTCAGAATCCGTCGCGTTGTGGCCTGGCCTCTTCAGAATGGAGGCTAGCTATCACGGGTTGTCCTTTCCCCCATAGGACTCTGGGAGCCGTAGTTCGGGGAGAGGCAACGAAAAAGCCAGCCTAGTCCATGCCCTCTCTAAACAAACTTGCCTGCCAAGGGAAGAGCGAAAGTGAGAACTGGTCTTGCCTGTCCTGAGCCGTCCTCTCCTACCTGTGCATGGAAAAGAGAGGGGGGTTGGGGCTGTATCTGGTTGGAAGGTCGATTCCTCACTGTGCCTCCTTGATAAGGGCTGGGCTCAATGATCCAGAAGGTCCCTGCCAGCTCTGCAGTTCTCAGATTATTATTGTGATTATTCAATGTACATTGATTATTCCATATACAGATATTTAGTGAATTAATAGTGCTCCCCTACAGCAGTGATTTTCAACCCGTGATTCTCCTGAGGTCTTGGATGTCAGCTCTTGGCGTCTCTGACCAGTGGCCACGCTGGCTGGAAATCCAAAAATATCTAGAGAGTCAACAGCTGAGACTGAAAGTCTGAAAGTGCTCATAAATAAGGGGTATGGCCAAATGTAGAATTGCATTTTACCTTCTTGGGCTCCGTGATCACTGCAGATGGTGACCGCAGCTGCAAAATTAAAAGACTCCTGCTTCTTGGGAGGAAAGCGATGACAAATGTAGACAGTATCTTAAAAAGCAGAGACATCACCTTGCCATCAAAGGTCCGCATAGTCAAAGCTATGGTTTTTCCAGTAGCGATGTATGGAAGTGAGAGCTGGACCATAAAGAAAGTGGACCGCCGAAGAATTGATGCTTTTGAGTTGTGGTGCTGGAGGAGACTCTGGAGAGTCCCCTGGACTGCAAAGAGAACAAACCTATCCATTTTGAAAGAAATCAACCCTGAGTGCTCACTGGAACGACAGATCCTGAAGCTGAGGCTCTAATACTTTGGCCATTTCATGAGAAGAGAAGACTCCCTGGAAAAGACCCTAATGTTGGGAAAGTGTGAAGGCAAGGGGAGAAGGGGATGACAGAGGACCAGATGGATGGACAGTGTCATCGAAGCTAGCTTCATGAATATGCCAGACTCCGGGAGGCAGTGGAAGACAGGGGGGCCTGTCGTCCATGGGGTCACGACAACAACAAAGAGTTGCATTCTTGAGCTTTGCTAACTGCAAACCCCAGAAATTGGTGTTCACTCAAATCTGTTTGGATGCTTTATATGTGGTTTGCACAGTGTTGTTTCACATACCTAGTAGCAAGTTTGTACAGCTATGGAAAGATGTCTACTGGCATATCAAACCAGGGCTATAATAAACACCTTCAAATACACCATTGTGGCATACACTCAAGCATTTTATACCAGTTTTTGCATGAAAATATTGAGTTTGTAATAGGAAAATGCATTGTGCAGCCCCACTGAACACTTCAAAACCAAAATTGTTGCTTCATCACAAAATCCATGCCCTGGTTGTATACCTTCTTTGTACTACCCGATGTCACAAAGCCAGATTTTTAACCAACAACACTTCATGTCATCTGTAATGATATAGCCAGCTGGCAGTCGTTCTTTCTATTTCTTCTTCTGTTTCTTGTTCATTTTCAGCCAAAGCTTAGCTATTATCATGGCTATACTGATAATAGTATGCAGCAGCTCGAAACAGGGATGCTATGTCTCCCCATCTTCAGACAATAATATTTTCCTTCCTTTTCCCCATGCATTTGTCTTGAATGATGAGCTGTAAGAATAGAACTTTTTGATTTTTGATCATATGACAGAAGTATTCCATTTTTGTGCATTTTATGATTTCTTGCAAGGAGGAAAACAAAACCAAAGTGCTGCGGCAGTTTTAAGCCTAATAACTTCATTTCAGTTCGAGTTGGTGCAGATTACAACCCATTTCTTCAGAAATGGTATTGCCATGAATTTGGTAATCCTAGTTAATCACCTATAATCTCAGCTCTGAGGACCCAAATCTGATAAACTCTCAAAAATAAGTCAGCGTTTTGTAACTACAAGCTTGTGCTGTCATCACTTCGTAACATCAAATCAGGGTTCCTTTTCAAACGAAAATGAAAAGTAAGATGTGATTGATGAAAGGAAAATTTCAGTAGCAAGCATGTGTCTTGGAACCTGGGCCACGGCTTCTTCATGCAAACGAAACAGTTCACATCCATATGCAATCTGGGGTGGTGTGGGGATGATAGTAGGAGATAAATTAAGCAGTGAAAACTGCCCACATAACCACTCTTAATGTGCTTTAACAAGCTGCTTTACAATCACATCTCTAGGAAACTCTGGAGGCTGGTCCATTATTTTATTTTATTTAAAACATGTTTACCCTGCCTTTCTCCTTAAAAAGAACCCAAGGTGGCTTTATGGTTAATGAGTCACTAACTGACCTCAGGATCAGCTGCTTCTGCCTAGAATTCCCTCCTGTAAAATTGTGAGGAGGGTGGCAGAGCATGGCGCACGTCCTTCTACTCTGGTCACAAGTTGTATGCTAGTTGCAGGTGAGAGAAGAAAATGAAACAGTGAATGGGAATTGTAGTTCAACTGCCCAGCTGAGAAGCCAGGCATAGAGGGAAGCAGCAGTAGTACTTAAGAACATTTATTTGAGGAGGTGAAGGTTGTGTTTTTTCATTTCTCAGTTGAATTGTTGAGTGAATGAGCTGGGGCGGATGTGAGGCAATCTTCTCTCTCTCTCTGTCTGTCTCTCTGTCTCTCTCTCTCTCTCTGTGTGTGTGTGTGTGAGAGAGAGAGAGAGGGAGGGAGGGAGGGAGGGAGGGAGAGGGAGAGATGACTTTGGATGAGAGTTTGAAATTTTGCCACAGCTTACATTTTTTTTGATACAACAGAACACGCTGCCTGAAGTAGAGCAAAACTGTGGCAGTCCTCCTCTTGCCATGATCAATGCTTTGAAAAGAAAATAATGCTACACCATTCAGATGATTCTTCCTGCCTTCAAGGTACTGCCCAAAGAAAGTTGTTTTGTAGGCTGGAAGGCAGAGTTGTCCCAAAAGCACAACATCAGAACAAATTAACAATAAACATCAGCCTCTTTTAAAACCTTTAATACTGTTCTGCCGCTAGATGGCAGTCTTTTCATTGCTTCTGAGTAAAGCCAGGATGACTAACCAGATTTTCTAGTTTAGGAGACATATTCTGTCACATTCAAAGCAATGGAAAACAATGAATGTCCCACATTTGTTGCACTGTTAACTAGTGATGTCGTGGAATTATGGCTCACAGAGTCAGACTCCCAAGACTCTTTGATAAGCAAGGATTATAAAATGTTCTAATACATTCCTCAGGCAAATCACTATTTGTGGGTGGTTTCGTCTTAAAGCAATTAAGATCCACTGACTTCACAAAATACCTCCTCTTCATTTTTGGTTGCCATATTATAGACCAACCTAACTGCTTGAATTCTTGGACTCTTACGCAGAAGAACTGCGATAGGGATTGTCATGGAAATGCCACAATACCCCTGACTTTTGCTACCCGGCATGAATAAAAGGCTGCTTTTGCTGTACTAGAACATGGATTTCATTCCCAGACTGTACAGCATATTGTGTGGGAATAATGCCCTTTGTTTCTGTCAACTTGGTAACACTGTCTATGTTAAGGATGTTCACCCTCATCCTTGTTCAGCTCTCCATCTTTCAATTGTGACTAACTGGCAAAATCATCTGTGGAAAACTGAGGCCCCTTTTCATCTGGAATAAACTATACCGTGCGGTCAAGTAAGGTGGAAAAGCAACACTTCTTGCGCTGGGACTTTCGGAAGCGATTGTTCTACAGATTTTGTTTGTGCTACCCAAATATGAAACTAAATTGTTTGCCAACCAGGTACAGTGGATCCTCGACTTACAGATGGCTCAGCTTACAGACTTTTTGAGTTACAGACTTCTCTGGCTGCAAAATTTAGGTTCGACTTGCAGCCAGAGAATCGACCTACAGACCAGAAAAAAAAATGGAACAAAAATGGCCGGTTATGGATTAATCGGTTTTCAATGCATTGTAGGTCAATGGAGACTTGACCTACAGACTTTTCAATCTGCAGCCACCATTCCAATACGGATTAATTCCGTAAATAGAGGGTCCACTGTACTCATCACTGATGGACATGCTCAAGGCCTCTGCTCTCTCTTCTCAGAATTCTTTATTTTTGAATCTGTCAGGGTTTGCTACCTTGCCTATTTAAGAATGTTGAAGGGCAAGGTATAGGGGTATAAAAATGTAGCCATAAAGCCACCTAAAAGTAAAGCACTTTTAAACTTGCATGAAGATATTGTTTGCTCCAAGTGTTCTAAAAACAATGCATCTGTTACAGCGCCACCAGGAGGTCACTGAAAAAAATGATTTTTGGTGATGTCCTAATCCATTTGGCTTTCCAGTCCACACACAATGAAAATAGTAAATACTGTACAGGCACCTGATGGGTTATTGCTGTAGATAGATTTTTATTTTGCTTGTAAGCTGAACTGGTAGAACGATGATGTATGAATGTTTATTTCCTTGTTTAATCGGAATGCCCACTGCAACTGATTAATTTAAAGGAAAGCCAACAATGTTGCTTAGCAGCAGTGTGTGTGCTTCTTCTTGGCAAATTAGGTAAACAAAACAAAATAAACAAAAGTTTGTTTTTCACACTGCAGTCAGGAGGAAGAATTTGTGGAAGAATAAGAGGAGGTGCTTAAAGCAGCAGAAAGATAAGCAGAACGTCAACAATGGATTTAAGACTTTTAAATGCAAACTGACTAAAATGGATGAGAGTATTATGTACTGATTTTGTGTGTTTCCCAATATATTTAAAGCTAACTAATGCTCTTTGTTTTATATATTTTTATTTTTAAAACTTTGATATTTTCCTATGCTTTCGCAAAAAGGCTTTTACGACTTCTGAAGGCTTTCAAAACATGATCCTTTTTATTTTTAAATTATCTATTCTAGAGACGTATTCTCCGCCTTTACAGGCTGAAAGCTTCTCTGTTTTTAAGAATGTAACTTAAATAGTTCTTTCTGATATTT